GGGGGGGGGGGCGGGGGTTTAGGGCTGAATCCCCAGCAGGGGGCATGCAGAAGGCAGCTGATCAATGACTCACTCTCGCCATTGATGTTTCCATTTCTCTCTCCCTCTCTTCTTTCCTCTCTCTGAAATCAATAAAGACATATTTAAAAAAATGCTAAAAGTCACTCTAAGGCTATTAATGACCTATTCTGTTAGTAACAAGTTAGTTTGTCAAATATTCATGTGATTTTATCTCTAGTCAAGGAAACACTCTTGTTGCCTCCTTGCTGAAAACTTTCCACCAGCTTGGCACTCGCACTGAAAAACCTGTTATCTCCAGCTTTTCAGTGTAATTTTAAAAACTTTATTTTAAAGCAATTTCACAATTGCTTTTTTATCTTCATTCCCCCACCCAAATGAGACTTGCTTTTAAAAAAACAATCAAGAAGAAGAAACATATATGTAATATGAGTCAGCTCTTGTGTGAGAGTCATTACCAAAGCCCAATATTTTTAGGCTAATTTGTTCCCTAGTTTTTATATTATTTCAAAAATTAATCTCTGCATAACAAAGGGTCCACTACTAAATTAAAAATATAGCTTCTATATTTCACTGTTATCTTATGAACAACATGAAGCAAACCTGCGTCACTTGTAAAGAGATAACAAAATGTCTGTGTGTGGTGAAAGCGTTAGGTTAGCTATGCATTTTCCAGTCAGCTTTACAGAATTTCTCCTAAGTTTGCCTTAAAGAGAATAAATCAGAACAAAGCAGAAGTGTAATTCCACTAAAAAATAAACATGAACCCCCTTCTCCCAAGGATGTGGATTTTAAAGCTCAGGATAGTGGGTTCCAAAGAGTTGCAATATTCCTGTCTGTAACGATCTCAAATCAGACATACAGGAAAAGGGACAAGTTGTATATTAACAAAATACAGGATTATCTTGCAGTTTGCCTTTAAAAAATATATATTCTAATGACTTAAGGCAGGTATTGAGAAAGCATGATTCTTACATTTAAAAAAACACAACTACATTATCTCCTCCTATCCCCCTAGAAATTATACCTGCTGGAAACATATCCTTATGGAATTTGCCTTAAACTCAGAGGTTGAGCTCTTTTACTAGAAAATTAAATCAAGTTTGAGTAAATTTGGACTCTTAATATTAAGTAGCTTTAAAGTTTGCCTATTGGCTCTAGTTTCAGGCACTTGCATGTCACAGAAAGCAACTTGTTTCATACTACTTTGGGCTATTATAAGAAGACAATTCCTGCCCCAGCTTTTTTTAGTTTAAAGAATCATTTTACACTTAACCCCAGAATATAGCTTGTATTTTAGTGGAATATTCAGGTGGATTTTCACTTGAACACTTAAGTCAAGCCTTAGGAGTTTGGACATAGTGGAAGACCCCAGTCTGGTTTCTGTATTAAAAGGGGGTGTGTGTGGGGTGACCCAAATCTTCTCCCCTTACGTTGTTGGTAATTCAAAGCAGGAACCTCATCTGAGAATTAGACAAGATTGAGTTAGATAAGTTTCACCTCATATTAATATCTTAAAGACCAACATGGGTAAAACAGTACCAAGGGAAAATTGAAAACTCCAAGACAGTAATTTTCAGATCAATTTCAGCTTTACTTTAAATTTGTATTTATGCAATTGTGTGCAAAAAGAATGCCTTTTCTTGACTTCACTGCAATGTTGACTTTCCTCTTGAAGTAGTACATAAAAATAAACAATTCAAGCCTCTATGTATTTTATTGTTACCAAGCTTACATAGAACATGTGTGCAAACTTCAGGTTTCCCATCTCAAACTAAGCTAACCAAAAATGCTGATCAGCAAACTCGCAAAATGCATTAAAGAGAAACCTCAAATAATGTTTTTAAAAATCAAACTTTAGAACTAACCTTTTATAATTAAACTAAGCTGTTGCTCCTTTCCTTTCATATGCATACACTGGGCTAAAGACTTCCAAAAATAGATCTTGTAGTTGGCACCAGGACATTTCAAAGAAGAAACAAAAACAAAAGGAAACAAAATAGAGAAAGGAAAAGAGATTTACGTTGACTGAAGTGCAAGCTTAGTCCACTTCCTCGATGGTGGGTCCCCCGGAGGCTCCAGACCCGCCGCCGCCAGGGCCGCCTTGGTAAAGTTTGCTGATGATGGGGTTGCACACTCTCTCCAGCTCTTTCTGCTTGTGTTCATACTCATCTTTCTCGGCCATCTGGTTTCGGTCGAGCCAGTTGATCACCTCCTGACACTTGTCGAGGATCTTGTTTTTGTCCTGCTCGCTAATCTTGCCCCTCAGTTTCTCGTCTTCCACTGTCTGCTTGATGTTGTAGGCGTAGGACTCCACCGCGTTTTTGGCGGCGACGCGGTCGCGATTGGCTTCATCTTCGGACTTGTATCGCTCCGCCTCCTGCACCATCCGGTCAATGTCGTCCTTGCTCAGACGACCCTTGTCGTTGGTGATGGTGATTTTGTTTTCTTTACCCGTGCTCTTGTCGGCGGCGGTGACATTGAGGATGCCGTTGGCGTCGATGTCGAAGGTAACCTCGATCTGGGGGACCCCGCGGGGCGCCGGGGGAATCCCGGTTAGGTCGAACTTGCCCAGCAGGTTATTGTCCTTGGTCATGGCCCGTTCGCCCTCGTACACCTGCACCAGCACGCTGCTCTGGTTGTCTGAGTAGGTGGTGAAGGTCTGCGTCTGCTTGGTGGGGATCGTGGTGTTCCTCTTGATGAGCGGGGTCATGACGCCGCCGGCCGTCTCGATGCCCAGCGACAACGGGGTCACGTCGAGTAGCAGCAGGTCCTGCACGTTCTCTGACTTGTCTCCGATGAGGATGGCCGCCTGCACCGCGGCTCCGTAGGCCACCGCCTCGTCGGGGTTGATGCTTTTGTTCAGCTCTTTGCCGTTGAAGAAATCCTGCAGCAGCTTCTGGATCTTGGGGATGCGGGTGGAGCCGCCAACCAGCACGATCTCCTGGATCTGGCCCTTGTCCAGCTTGGCGTCGCGCAGCGCCTTCTCCACGGGCTCCAGGGTGCCGCGGAAGAGGTCGGCGTTCAGCTCCTCGAAGCGGGCGCGGGTGATGGACGTGTAGAAGTCCACACCCTCGTAGAGCGAGTCGATCTCGATGCTGGCCTGCGTGGACGAGCTCAGGGTGCGCTTGGCGCGCTCGCAGGCGGTGCGAAGCCGCCGCACCGCGCGCTTGTTGGGCCCGATGTCCTTCTTGTGCTTGCGTTTGAACTCTTCCGCCAGGTGGCTCACCATCCGGTTGTCAAAGTCCTCACCGCCCAAGTGGGTGTCGCCGGCCGTGGACTTCACCTCGAAGATGCCGTCCTCGATGGTCAGGATGGACACGTCAAAGGTGCCGCCGCCCAGGTCAAAAATGAGCACGTTCTTCTCGCCGCCCGCGCAGCCCTTCTTGTCCAGGCCGTAGGCGATGGCTGCCGCCGTGGGCTCGTTGATGATGCGGAGCACGTTGAGGCCCGTGATGGTGCCCGCGTCCTTGGTGGCCTGGCGCTGCGAGTCGTTGAAATAGGCGGGGACGGTAATGACCGCGCTCTGCACCTTGCCTCCCAGGTAGGCTTCGGCGATCTCCTTCATCTTCGTGAGGACCATGGAGGAGATCTCCTCCGGGAAGAAGGTCTTGATCTCTCCCTTGTATTCCACCTGCACTTTGGGCTTCCCTCCCTCGCTCACCACCCGGAACGGCCAGTGTTTCATGTCCGACTGCACTGTGGCGTCCTCGAACTTACGTCCGATCAGCCTCTTGGCGTCGAAAATGGTGTTGGTGGGGTTCATGGCCACCTGGTTCTTGGCGGCGTCGCCAATGAGGCGCTCGGTGTCGGTGAAGGCCACGTAGCTGGGGGTGGTGCGGTTGCCCTGGTCGTTGGCGATGATCTCCACCTTGCCATGCTGGAAGACCCCCACGCACGAGTAGGTGGTGCCCAGGTCGATGCCGATAGCCGGGCCGCGGGCAGACATCCTGACTGAAAGATAGGCAGGCGACGTTAGGCGGGAACACGAGCGACAGAAAATCCGCGGAGCCCACTAACGGTCGCTTTGCACCTGACACCACGAATGCAACTAGTGCCTCCCGCTCCCCGCCGCTCGGCTCCCAGCTCTTATAGCCACCTCCCTGCCTCCCTGCCGCCTGTGGGAACAACCGGAGCCAATCCGCTCCCAGGACCGCCCGCCAAGGCTTGCCTTTGTCGGAGTGACCGGCCCGTGGCCCAACAGATTTCAAGTTGAGTGAGGGGCGGGACCCCGGCCGGCGCGAGGAGGCGAGGGGCGGCCGTTATGCAAATAAACCCCGCCCTCGCCTCCCAGCGGCCGGGGTCCGCGGCGCCTCGCGCGCCACCCGCGGCCGGGGGGCGTTAGGCTCGCACTCTCCACCCTGCGCCCGCCCGGAGTGCGCG